TTCTTTTCCTAATATTCTATTTGTTTTGCTTACTATAATGTCAGACTAATAGAAGAAAATTAGTCTCATTAAATATAGCTGAATCTCTATAAATCTGATTAACTGCTATAGACACCAACATAATTTATATTTTTAAATAAAACTTTTAATATTTCATGAGTACCTTTTGCGTAATGGAAGGATTTTGTAGAGCATTTGCTTAGCAGCTTGCCTTCCAGTATATTGAATTTTCTGAGTAAATCTAATAGTAGCATTCCCTTTTGAGCTGGTCATTATTTTCTGGTAGCTGTGAATATTACTGTTATTGTTGCTAGCTCCTGTGTTGTTGTTATGATGAAGTTCTTAAGAGGTTGCTGTAGCAGCAATAATATTTGAATCTTCTCCATCTATCAAAAAATCCTGTCCAGCTAACAAAAGCAGTGCTAACATTATATTATTCTGTTGAGTTCAAACCAAGTGTAGTTCTTTGGTTTATGTTTTTAGAGTATTTCATATAATACTTATAATAATATTTCATATAGTTAACATTATTTCATGAAAACAAATTGATAGAATTGGCATTGACTAATTATAGAGATAAGTGGGTAAGAAATGGCAGTTGATATTATCTGTTGTTAATTGTCTTTTGTTAATTGAAGGCTGATTTTTTTTTTCAATCAAGTGCATATGTTTTTTACTCTTACTCTGTCTGAAAAGGAATGAACCAGTGCTACAGAAAGTTGTTAATGTGATTGTATCAGCATTATATCAGTTGGAAATTATATAGTGGATTGTGGGATGACCTTCAGTTCCGTATGTGGCAATCTTTTAATTTTTTTATTCCTGCCACTCCTTGTTTCACTTGCTCTTCTCCACACACTTCAAGAGCTGCTATGAGGATATATTACAGAATGCTTTGCTATTTTCAGTGTGATGATGAAATTGTGCTTTGAGTCTGTTGCAGAAAGAACTAAGGCAACCTTTTTCAAAGTGATACTTTCTACCTATTAGATTAATTCAAAATAGTTCAAAGATGCAGAATGCATGAAGACCTACAGGAACAAGTGTCCTCTCAAACACTGGGGGCATAAGTGGGGTATCTGAATTTCCCAGAAATACTGTTTCATCAGACGTGAAGGGTAGATGAAGAAGAATAGTATCAAGATGAAGTGATTTTTATCTTGTTCTTATAATAAAAATGGTTCAGCTTTAATATAGCAGGTTTAACGGAAGAGTGCACTACAGATATTACTTCAGATTTCACAGGATTCCTTTGATGTTGTCTGACTGCCCTCTTCAGGATGACATTGAATTTGTCAGTCTGCTTAGTGATTTTATCTTTTCTAGAAATAACCAAACTCATGCCTAAATTGCTTTTTTTTGAAGTTGCAAACTGCCCATTGAGAAGGGTCTTAAAGTAGCAAATTTTACTATGTCGGGTAATAAGGGTGAAAGTTAAGTTTTATTGTGCCTCATACTATTTATTCTTTGTGGGAGTAAGATCATAAATTTTCATTTTAGCTCTTGGGTTTTTTTATGATAGTACATGACAATATCTATCTCTTAGTATGACACAACTGTGCTGAAGTGTGTGTGTAATATATTTCATACCTAGAGTTGATCTCAGTTTTGAGGAAAGGGGGAAGGTGTTAGGATATCTGTGGTCCTGTAATGCTCTTTCCTTTCTTTGCTCTTGCAAACTACCATATGTATTATTTATGTTTTGTGCAGAGTTTCTCTTACAACAAAAAGACTTCTGCATTTGCAGCTTTTAAATAAACAGTGTTGTGCATCATCAAACACATAGAACTGCTTTTCTAGAAACACTGTTTTGAGAAAAGCTGCAGAATGCACTTATTTATACTACTTCTGCATCTTATCACATGCAAAGATGAGTTGCCAAGTGGTAAAACCCTGGTTTGAACTCTACAGCAGATATGATTAAATAGTAATATGGAAATTAGCAAAGGAGACTGTGTAAACCAAAAGTACTGCAAGCATTCTTTCATTTTGTGTGAGTTTTTTCATTTTGTTTTTATTTTTACCCTGAATTTTTTTGTTGAGATAGATTTGTCTTGTGGAAGGGGCCTATGGTTTTATGGTTCTGTGTGTTTAGAGAATGTTTCTGTTGGTAAGGATCCCAGGATTGTTCTCCTCTAATTCTGTTCCATTTCCCTTCCTCTTGGTTCAGGCAGGGCAAAAGTTGTTTTGGTTTGTATTCTTCTTGTTATGTTGGTTTTTTGTTAGTTTGGGGTTTTTTTCCCCCCTTAAAGCATACAGGTGAACAAGCAAAACCCAACCAACCAAAAAAACCCCAAAACCCCTGATGTGAGTATAGACCCCTGAGTAAAGGCAAGAGAAGACTTTCTGACATATTTGACAAGGAGCAAATCACCTTCTAGTCATGATACAAAGGCTTACTTAATGCTATGTGTTGTATAAAATTATCACTTTTAAAACAAGTTTTACAGAAATAACCCAAGGTTTATTGTGCTACTTAAAAGCCTCCTGTTCATTTACTTAGGACCATTTCCCCAGTACTCAACAGTTGCTTTGGATCTGCTGTTTCAGGGAGACTACTACTTTCACAGTTCTCTGTTATTTGTCTACTAGTTTCAGAATTCCTTGTGTACAGCTGTTTCCAGCCATTAAATCCTGATATCATATTCAAGGGCCACATAAGCATCTCCTTGCATGGATCTGTTAGCAAATTTGCATGACGCTTGCCACTCAGACCATTCCTATTTTCTGAGACTTTTAAATATGGAAAATATTACCTTTTCTTAACATCATCTTGGGATGTCTCTGGTACAGTTTAACTTGATACATTTCTAATTTTGAAGAAGACAAATCTGAAGCAGCGAGTTGCATAACTACTTGAAACCTTTTAATTGCTAGTGTGACTGTTGAGAATGCTGTTGCAAATGTAATTCATCTAACCACTGCAGCTGAATGTAGAATATTTTTTGCCAGTGACTGCCACATGGATGTACATTTGCTTCTTTTCCTTAACAGGCAAGCTAATGAAGAATATCAGGTGCTGGCTAATTCCTGGCGCTATTCATCTGCTTTTTCAAACAAACTGTTTTTCACTATAGTGGATTATGATGAAGGGGCAGATGTTTTTCAACAGGTAAATGCTGGATACTATAAAGCATTGTTAATTTTTTGAACTATGTGTCTATTTGCCAAATAATTCAAGACAAATTATTTTTTCTGTGTAGCTCTGTGTTTTGTATACAATTTCTTCCTGGTTAAAAACACCAGGCACTGCAGTTTCTATCACATCAGTGAAGACAGAATCTATCAGTAGCAACTTCTAGTATTTTCCAAGTGTAGTTTATATCTTTGTTTATAGATTGCATTATATGTATGTTGTTGTTTTTTTTCACCAAACAGTTGTTAATGTAGTTTTTTAGAATTAAGCACAATGCGGTAATATTTGCATTTAAAGATTTCCTTGATTTTCTCTTTAGAGGAAAAATGCTCTTAACTGAAAGAGCCTTTTAATTGCTTTTATGTAATACAATATTCTTCAGCTTTCATAATATTTGCATTAGTCTGGAAGTTCTTTTGGGAGAAGAGAAGAGACTGGTTTACCTTCCATATGTTGGCTATGAAGAGTGAAAAATCAGCTGTTGGAGAATAGTTTACAGTCCCCTCTTAAGTAGTTTAACACATCCCTTGAAAATTAACACTAAATACTGATGTGCTTTTCTTTGATATTTATTCGTTGTTTGAAGCTAAAATGCAGATTAAGGGGAGTTACAAGCTTTGAAGTTCTCTGTATATTTTAAACACCTTTTGCAGAAGTGTGTGATTTAAAACATTCAGGGGAAAAGATTAATATTTATTTTAAAAATGCTTAAAAAAGTTTAATTAGTGTATTTAATAAATATTTTTACTTCCAATTGACATATTAGAATGCATTGTGTAAAGAGTGGTTCCTAGCAGCTTAATTTAAAAATTAAAGATTTGCTCTACAAAAAGTTGTATTATTCTAACTTATAATACAAAATATGTTTTTTGATCTTGCATTAAGCCAATCAGTGCATATTAGAATAGTCCAGTCCAACTTGCTCCTTGTGTAACAGGACACTCATTCAGTTTATTTCAAATGTTATGCATTAAAAGTAATGTAAAATTTAGACAAAATTAAACAGAAATATGTAAGGCTTTGACTGTCTTTTGAAAGACAGTGTTAGAATAAGTGATGCTAATTACTTTATTTAAGATGGATTTGGTGCAAAGGCAATTCTGACCTTATATTTATGTGTGCAAACAAGTCATGCAATACTGATACCATAGCAAAAAAACCCAAAACAAAACAAAAAAACAACCAAAAAGTTATGTGATTTTGAATTTTCAGATTTTGCTATGTTTATAGAGAAGTGATAAAGCAGTTCCTGACCAACTGCCCCCAAACTCTATACAATGTCAGAAGGTTTCTGGATCTCAGAATGGTTCTGTATCTTATAAAATATTTTACTTAACTATTTCACAACGTTTGTCTTAGCCTTTTTTGGAATATCTTTTCTTTCCAAATCATTTCACTAAAGAAGAGGGTTACTTTTTGCTTAGATGGAAAATATTTTAGTAACTGGTAGTTTCTATTGATAAATTCAGTTCTGTATTTGATTAAATATTATGTTTTGGTAATATGATGAAACTAATTTTACAGGAATCAAACAAACAAGCTTGCTCTGCCTTTTTTATTTAAAGAGGTCCATATTGGATCATCTTTCAGTATTTCACCTCATCTTGTTACTTTTCCTTTTTTTACGTGCTTTATTGCACAATTTCTGAGATGGCTTGAATATGGAAGAATTTCATATAGTGAAATTGTATTTTATATTTATATATTATATTCTTCTATACCACCTTGAAAAGTTGACCTCAAAGTTGCAAGTGGCAAATGTAAATATAAATCTATGTTTATAACCTTTGAGGATTTTTTATATGCAGTGAATAGTTCCAGTGACATCAATATATGAATTAGCAGTAATTTCTAAAGCAAGTTATGTAGTCTAAGCCATTTTTCTAGGCCTTTCTGGGTTCAAAAGGACTAGTCACTAGTGGATAATCTGTCTTGCAGCCAGTGGAATGCTAGATGTATAGTTTAGTTAACTTTGGATTCATGAGAGCTAGGCAAGGGAAACTAACAAAGCTACTTTAAGAACTACTATCATCAAGCTACTTTACTCCCCTAGAATTACAAGCTAATATTCTTTAATAGATTGGATGGGGCAGGATCTCTGTTTTACCAATTACAGGAACAGTCTTAAGAGTGTGTGAGAATTTTAAAGCAATAGGATACTCTTACTCAGAAAAGCTTGTGGGTGAAATGCTCTGAATAATTACCATCCTGAAAAATCTACTGGAAGGAATATTTTGAGGACTATACATGAAGATGTATTAAGAAACATAATGTGTGGAGACAAACTATTTTTATGCTAATCAGACTTGTGTTGTTGAGGATATTATCTTGTATTTTGAGGATAGAGTACTAATTTTTTTTCTGCTGTTTTTCCTGATTTTGTAGCTGAATATGAACTCTGCCCCGACTTTTATGCATTTTCCTCCAAAAGGTAAACCCAAGAGAGCTGACACGTTTGACCTGCAGAGAATCGGATTTGCAGCTGAGCAGCTAGCTAAATGGATAGCTGACAGAACAGATGTTCATGTAAGTATTTCAACAGTTTTAGAAGTTGAAGCCAAATGTATCTTTGTAGTCTCAGACAGGCTGATGACAAATTCCATCTTTCCTCAATAACTTCTTTTGTCAAGTGAAGATTCTAGAACACATAAAAAAAAATTCATGGTACATGCCGTAACTTCTGCAGTTTGCAGATTATATTCCATTCTTGCTTTGTTCATTTTTATGTAGTCTTATTCTGGATGAAAACAAGCAGTGATAATTACTTTTTCATAATATGCTTTGTTAAATGCTATGTACAAAACACATAGTTGCAAATCTGCTTCTATTTCAGGCACGACCTGCAAATCTCTTGAAGAAGTAATGTTTCTGAGTTGAACAGTTAAAAATGATGCTTAATCTTTTTAATAGTATTTACTTAGTAACGAAATATTATTTTTTCTTATTTAAGTATACCTTTAGGGATTAGTTTTGCGGACTCTGAAAGCAGATTTCAGATGCTCCTTGTTTGTTTATATGGAATATGATCTATATGTGTGCATTTATTATGACCTCTATTTGCATATATCTTTTTCAGATCAGAGTGTTCAGGCCTCCTAACTATTCTGGTACAATTGCATTGGCTCTTCTGGTCTCTCTTGTTGGTGGCTTATTATATCTGCGAAGGAATAATTTAGAGTTCATCTACAACAAAACTGGCTGGGCCATGGCAGCTCTGGTATGCAGATTTTCCTTATTAATATGCTTTTTATTAGTTTCTTATCTTAGCATACGTGCCTTCATTACTTGCATGGTAGATTAAAAAACATTGCATTACTACATTGTTCAGAATGATACTATCAGAGCAGGATTCATAATCTAGATTTTGAGTCTAATTCTCATAAGCAGTAAGTTATCAATTACTAAGAGTAATTCTCTGAAAATTAGCAAATTCTCTGATAGCTGCAGCTTTTTGTTTGAACTTTAATGTGAAAATATTTCTCATAGTAAGTGTTACAGATGTTTGTGGCTGTGATTCAACTTTGTCCTTTTTTGATAAAATCAATAATGTTATTATTGGTTTAGTGTGGGTATTGATGTCAGACTCTATCAGTTTAGAGTAATGAAAGTTGAGAAAAGTAGCAAAGGCTTTTATATGTTTATAAGACAATGATAAAATATCTCAGAAGCAAGAAAGGGGGAATTTTTCAAAGCTGGTTTCAGTAGTACTGATGTTAACATTCTGCTGTTAACCTAAATGAGAATAGGATGATCTTGTAGTGCTAGCTCTGAGAAAGGACTATGAGGAGAGGCTGAGGGAGCTGGGGGTGTTCAGCCTGGAGAAGAGGAGGCTCAGGGGAGACCTTATCACCCTCTACAACTCCCTGACAGGAGGTTGGAGTCAGGTGGGGGTTGGCCTCTTCTCCCAGGCAACCAGCAGGAGGTCAAGAGGGCACAGACTCAAACTCTGCCAGGGGAGGTTTAGGTTGGATATTAGGAAGAGATTTTTTACAGAGAGGGTGATCAGACATTGGAATGTGCTGCCCAGGCTGGTGGTGGATTCACCATCCCTGGAGGTTTTCAAGCTGAGACTGGATGTAGCACTTAGTGCCATGGTCAAGTAACCACGGTAGGGTTGGACACGATGATCCAACCAGATTGATTCTTTGATTGTATATAGCCAACTAAATCCTCAAAGCCATAAATAATGAGTTAAGGTTTAATTTGCTTAATAATGTACTGCAGTGTGTTTATTTATATAATAGCTTTCAAAAGACTGTAGATGATGGTTAAGGTGCATCAGTAAGTACTTATAAATCTGCCATCATTGTGACTGACAGAAGAGGAAAAATCTGAGGAGCAGCATGTAAGGCTTAATTTTTAGGGACATGGCATCAGGAGCATTGTTATCAATACTAAAGTAGTGTCTGGGATTATCAAGTCCAATCTGACATTTTACTGCTTAATAGAGCTCCTTCCTGCTGTACTAGCAGTTATATTAATTGAGAACAGTAGTTTAAAAAAATTGTCCATGTGTTTTGTGCAGCCTAAATGAAGCTTTTCTTCTGTTAGCATGTAAATGATTTTTTTATTCCCTTGATCATTTTAAAGCCTTTTTCTCAACTTGCATCAATATGAATTAGCCTTTCTGAAAGCACATGACTAGGATTGTAGATGGAATATGACTTTCCTTGCGCAATAGCATTCATATTTAATGTCTCATGTAGGCTCCCTTTCCCACAAAAGCTTGGATCAGGTGGTCTTTTGAGGTCTTGTTCAACCTGGGCTGTTCTATAGTTCTGTGTATTTTAGGTCTGGTAGGAGTAGGTTGCTAATATATCCTATAATTGGGTTTGCCTTTTTAATGCCATGTCATATTGATGGTTTGCTCTTCTGCTCTGATTCAGCAGTATGAAAAGATGCCTTCTTTTTGTGATACTTCAGCTGATGGGCCTTTGGCAGCCTTTATTACATAAGTTCAAAGATAAAGGTCCATAGTCCCTGTTGAACTCTGATTCATTTTTATATCTTAATTATTAATAAGATCTTAAAAAGAAAAAGCTCTTTGTTCAGAATTCTGTAATTACTCTTGAATAATGGCTACTGATGATTCTGTTTTCTCTCATGTACTTATCATAGCTTTTCATACTAGTCTGCATAACATGCATTCTTTGTTTAATCAGTTTATTAATCTACACCATACATTGAGGAGGGAATAAAGAACCAGTTTTCAAATAAACCACCTTTAGGATTAGGTTTCAAGTAGAATGATGTTTTCTTTTGATGTGGAGAACCAGGGGCAGAATGTCTTCTTTGTTCCAGGATGTCATTTGGACTGTCCTGAGCTCTGGCATAGGGTTTTGACATTTCTACATTTCTCTTCCAAAGTAAGGATGTCATGTTTAGTTCCATTTGTTTTTCTAGATTACTGGTATTTTTCAAGGATAAAATCTTTTAAAGATGCACTACCCTCAGAAAACTCACATTTGATATGTGTCAGTCTAGCTTTTTTGGGGCTCATAATCTTAATTATGCACACCAAAATAGATATTTGTGTCAAAAATCAAAGAAAAATATGTAATCAGTGGTATTTCCTTTGTTTAACCATGTACTGTATCTCTGGAGACAGCAATTTAATTTCAATTTCATACCTCAGAGATCCAGATCGAAAGTGTAATGTTAAAATGTTTGGAGAATTGTGGTTTTCCCTTTATGAGGTTAAAATTAGTTCTTCAGACCATAGAATCATTCTATTAGAAGTTATGTTCAATAAATAGTGGAAGACATAATTAGTTTTGTCATTAGATTAAAATTAACACATCAATTCTTTCTTAGAATATTTGCTGTTTTCCTTAGCAGCAGCTCAACACTTTACGTCAGAATGTAACTGTAAATTACAACATAGAAAACTTAGAATTGCATTCAGCTGAACTCCTGTGGGCATGGTCAATGTCCAAATGTAATCAAACATTTAAAGAAATTGTATTAATGCCATTCTGTAATTGTCATCCTGTTCATTGTATCAACAAGCAAGGAACTAAAATGGCATTAGTGCCATTTATTTTTGCTAATACTATTTCCAGTAAAATTCTGTTGACTTTAAAAATTAATAGCACTTAAAGGATGTTTTGGAAAATGGTCTTTTATTTGAAAGTATATAGTAATTAATTACGGTGTTGAGCCAATGGTTCTTCTGCCTTCACAGCATTGTGAAAGCCTCATACTCTGAAAACTGATGTATTAGCAAAGATCATGCACTTACCACAAGTCCTTTTGGTCTTATTCATATCTACATGGACATAAAAGTTAATTTTACAAGTTTTTGATGGAATCAGCAGGGACTCCAGATTGCAGGCTTTTGCACAGATGACCTCAGTTAATGACTAGAATATGTTAAGATTCATAGGACTAAACAGATAGTTATTAATATAGTCATTCTAAGTTACTGCATAGTTATGATTATCTTACATAGGACTTTTTTCTCCTACCAGTCAAGCTTAGAGCTTCTTTTTAAATTAAAGCTCATTAAAAGGTAGAATGGAGAATATGGTGTCTAGTTAAGGGGAGGGAGTCATGCCTAATAAAATGATTTTTATGAAGTATATAATAAAAGTCATGAAAATTTAATTTAAAATAATTCTTCATGAGTATTTTTTCCTTTTTGAACTATAAAACCTAAATTAAACAGGGAAAGCCTGGCAAGATGCATAAAAACTACAGGAAGGCCATGTTTTGACAGAAGTATTGTCAATTATTTTGTTCCTTATTGGCAGTTCTTTTTTCAGATAACGTAGAACCGAAAAAGCATGGAAGCTTTTTTCTAAAAGCTATAGGTTTGGGGTTTGATTGTTTTTGGGAGGTGCTGTACTGCTAGCTAGCTAGCATTCATTAACCGTGCTGGAAAACCTTTTTTAATTTCAACTGAAATTTTTTGATAGTGATCCTGGGATTCAGTGACTGAAAACTGTATTATTGTAAACAGCAGTCTCTTGTTTTCTTTTTCTCTTTTTTTTTTTCAGAGCTGCTTAGTTTGCTCTGAAGAGCTTTTATGCTCCCAAATGTTGGATACTTTTTACTTAGATGAAAAATGGATGGTGCCACTCTGCTTGATTTAATGATTTGTTCCTAAAAATCAGAAGACAATTCTCAGCATAAAAGCCTCTGCTATTTTCACTAGCAGAACAGAGGATCCCAGAAATGTTAACTGAGTTCTTATTTGATAACTCCATTGATACCAAAATGTTGTGTCTCATAGGCAATATTTCCAGCACTGTTTCAGGAGAATATTTCAGAATGCAATTTTTAATGACCCATCTAATAGTTTTGATGGACTTGCAGAAGCAAGACCAGAGCTTTCATCTTACCCATATATTCCATAGCCAGTTCAGACAAGACCATTGAATTGGTTTCATCCTCAGCATTAGATTGTGCAACAGAAATATTAGTGGTTTCATGCCCTTATTGAAGCACTGCAAACTCTGGTAGTATCTTGTATGCCTTAGGCATTTTCACTTACAACAATACCCAGAAGAATTTTAGAATGGCAAACCAGGATGACTGAGTCACATTGCGTAATATCCCAAAAGATGTCTTTTGAGATCTCATCCAAAATCTATCCCTTAGATATCTTAGATTTTAATTCAAATTCTGCTACTCGTCTGTGGATATTTTCCCCTCTGACATGCTAACGCAAAAATGAGGAAGGACTTCAGTCCTTAGATATTTGCAGAGTTCTGTCCTTTTATACTGATAACAGGAAGCAATTCAGACTCTTGTCAAGACTCTTTCTTCATTTCTTAAGCAGAGAGAAGAAAAGGTCAGGCAGTATAAAGTAGCCAAGCTTCTAGCATTTTAGATAAGGAATTGCTTCATTTTAGATGACATTACTTGCGCTGAGAGTTTATCTGTTCTGTTGGCTAGAATGTGGGAAACTAGGGATACTTTAAAAGCATTTTCTTTACCAGGCTGCCACTGTGGGTTGCTGCATGTAATTTTCAGTTTCATTTTATGTGTGTATTTCAGATTTATTTATATACTTGTGGAATCTGGGAAGGCAAAATTTGTGCTCAGATTAGAATGCAGCTATCTAGGAGTTGATTCTATTGGGCAAAATATGTCAGGTCACTTGAATGAGGAGACAAAGCATGTGTTTATTGTTGTCATAAGAGTTAATAGTGATGAGAAATGTGTTCTGTGCTGATACTCTCCACAGTACCTATACCATATAGTACATTCATCATCAGTTATTGGTCCAAAAGAGCTTGAAGGGTATTACGGCTACTAGTGGCTGCTTCATCCCTTTTTGGGAATGAGGATAAAGTAAGTAATGTGTTTTATTCAAAGATACATGTATAGAAAAAGTCAGTTTCCCCTGCGTGAGTAGATAGGCGTCTCAAATGAGCACCAATAAATGCTGATTATTAATTTCCTTTTCTTCCCATAGTTAGAAGTTTTAGAAATACATATTTAAATATACAGAAATCCACTCTCTTTGATTCTGTGTTGTACTCCCTGTCCTTGAATTGCATATCTCTTACTAGAGGTTCTAGTAAGTGATGGATTATTATTTAGAAATTGAGTACAGATCTCATAGTTCTGGAGCCTTCATTGAGTAAAAAAGCAAAGCTAAACTGGATCGAAAGAATAACATTTTTTTAAAACAGTAATTGTGAAATGGTTAAAACTTACATGTATAGAATAATATAGAAATTAAGTGCAGATGTGGCTGTCCATGTCTCCCCATTTTTGGGGGATTTCTTTTTTGAAACTATGCTTAAGGGTAACTATTTTTCTTACGTGTTTCCAGTGTTCTTGGATCTAAACTTGTGAAGAGAAATCTAATTATCTGCTTTGTATAGTATCTGCTAATAGGAGGCTTCTCTTCAAAATGCATGCTAAATGGATTTTTAAGTCTCTAGCAATTTTGTTGAATGAGCTGGCAGATACTCTTAAATAAATCTTATGCCTTTGAGAAAGTGATGTATTAAACCCAAATAAATTATTTGACAAAGTTTGCAAGACCAAGAACAGTAGAGAAATTCTACCAATGCACCTGTAAAGTTGTGTCTTGCTAGCAATTCAGTGTTCTGCTGGAAGTCTTGGTGCTTAATTTACTTTGCATCTGTTCTTAGAAGCCTTGTGGTTTACACACAAATGCACCACAGATGAGCTGAAAATTTCCTTCTTAGTGAAGCTAAGCATGAAGCTGTCAAGAAAGCACTTCTTGCAATTTGTTAACAAGATCCTTGAGCAGACCTGTCTACAAATGCAGTGTACTGACCTAATTGGGGTGAGCTTCATTGCCACTGCAGACATCCTGTCAACATTTGGTCTTGAAACCATGCTATGTTGTAGCAAATCATTGTTCTTTCCCTCTGTGCTACACCAGCCAATAGTGTAGATCTACACTGATTTTATCATTTAGATGCAGAATAAGCTACCTAAATCTGAAAATTCTTAAAATAGCTAAACCCTGAACTCCTCTAATAAATCAGGTGGCATGCAGCACTTAGTGCTGTTCTTGGAGTCTGACAAGGAGAAAGAAAGGAGCTCTCTTCTCCGTAGAACTGCTGTACTGACTATACTATGGATACCTGGGGTTGTACTCAAAGAAAGCATGAATTTTCTCCTGTACTCCAATTTTCATACTTTGTACTTTGACAAGATCCAAGAAAACTGTGGAAAGGGGCCATTTCTCTACATATGAATTCTTCATAGAAATAAATACAATATAAACCTGTAAGGAAAATATGAAGTCATTAATCGCATGTTACAGACTGCTCAGTTGTAGAAATTAATTTGGCAAACTTTTGTCCTGGGAATAATCAACTCCAGGTGTTGTGGAAACTTGAATCCCAAAGCATGGGATCATATGGAAACTATGCTGTTAGGAATGGTAAGCTGTGTATCAGCATGATGTATCATAGATGTATGCATCTGTTCTACAAATAATGGTTTGTATTTCAAGTGTATTTTACAAACAGAGGAAGTATGTAATTTCCAGTCTTGGTTTTGTACTCAGATGATTGTCATTGGAGAATACAGAACACAGCAAAAGGAGCTTGAATGTCAAGTGCTATCTATAGCATACAAAATGCTGGCTTAGGGAATATGATGGAAATTCTCTGTTGTTAAGATATTTACAATAGATGAAGAGTGGAAAAGGCCGAGGGAGAAGCTGGAGAATGTTTTTTGGCCCCTGAAAAACTAGTTGTGGAATACACTGTAAAAAGGAGCATGATGGCAGATAATCCTGTTAGATCCAGTATGTGGTGTACTGAATTAGTTTTCTTGGTCACTGACAGTCTGAACTGGAAGAGCATGAAAGATGGCTTCAGGAGAAATAACCAGATTGAAAAGTCTTTCCTTTTCAGTAATGTTAATACTTGATATTTTCTTCTCCCTACTTTTGTATCTTGTAGAAAATTTTTGGTTAGCTGTTACATTGTCTCACAGTATGGTATTTGTATTGTCAAGCATTAAAGATCTTCAGTAATTTGAGAGAGCTATCTTTTGTGAAATAAATGTCTGTATATAAAGTGGGGTGGGGTCTTTTACTCTTTCTATCTGGAAGCAGATTTGGCCCTTGGGAATGTAAATTACAAACAGTAATTTAAGAATGAGTAAAATGACTTTTCATACAAAACTCACTTTCAGAGAGCCACAGTTTGTGTACTCTATGTATCTGTTGGCTTTCAGTGTTTTACTTTGCAGCTAGGTTTTGGCCTTTCAAAATATCTCTTTCATCTCGCTTTTGTAACCCACATTTTCAGTCTCTACACTTTTGTACTTTCATATAAGCTATCTATTGTGTGATTCATCACCAAAATTGCAGTGTAAATTTCTCTGCTAAAACAGTCTGGAAGGTATACTACCCTTTTCTAGTGATGCAACTGTATACTCTTTTAATTTTGTTGCACATTATTAATTAAAACATAATCCATTTGCTAATAGTCACTACCAGTGTGTCTTCCTCTGTCATATTAATTACTATACTGTTACATTCCAAAAATCCTGTTAAGGGCAAAATGAAACACACTTTATATTAAAGCCAAGAACCTGTTCTTAGTGTAATTAAAGTCTTAACACTACAAGAAAAAATTCTAATTAAACGAAATACAAAAATGTATATTTTCTTTCTATTAAAATTATGCCACATTTAAAATTGTTCTGCATATGCTTCTTAGCATTTTTCCCTTTCTCTGATGTTGTGGTTACTCTTCTACTGTTTCTGGATCTTGAGATCATTCTTTGGCTTTGGTTTGGAGTGACTGGATACTATGATGTGTTGTCAGCATTCCAGATTATTTGCTGGGAGGATTATGCTGCTGCTGCTTTCTTCCTCTTTGCTCTGGGGTCCACTTGGGGCTATTTCATGCATTGTGTTTCCTTCACTGATCTGTAACTGAATTTTGCATCAAAATTTACTGGGTAAATGGGGATGGTCTTCATTCTGTTGGATGTTTGCCCTTTGCTCTCTTTCTTAGCCCTAAAACTGTTTTTGACCAGCTCCCATGTCTGTGTTTCTTTATTCACTATGGTGTAATATTTTTAGGTTTGGGATCGCCGGTGTAATCCTGTGCCTCCTTTCTTATCATTCCATACTGGTACACTCCATCCTGTGTTTACATTTTTGCTATCTCTGCTGTCATCTCATGTCTGCTCTACATCATGTTGGTCATAAAATATTTTATTCTAAACATAGTAGAGGAAAATTAATATGCTATGCAAAGATAAGCAAATGTAAACTAGACATTGTCACCTGGTCTTTGGAAAAATTGCTGTTTCAATTGAACCACTTAAAAAACCCAACAACCACCAAACAAGCAAACAAACAAAAAAGCCCCAACAAACCAGGAAAGCCAAGACAGATTTGAATAAAGCCTGACAAGATTCAGTCCTAAGGCCTTGCAAAATTTGTTCATATTGCTAGAGGTGACAGTGCTGCATTTACAGGGATGCAGAGCTACACTAGCTTATATTTATTTCACAAATGTGTTACTAAACATTCTTTAAAGAAAACTCTTTTTAAAAAGTTCATTAAAAAATGAACTGTGGTTTAGTTAGCTATTATGGTATGAACTTTGACATTCATGACCTGTCTGCCTAAATCACTATGACTTTACTATGCTGGTGGGAATATTGATGTATAGTAAAAATGAGCAGATATGTAACTGTACTTAAATTATCTCAGAGTTTTTGTAAGGATTATACCGATAAAACAGTAGACATATTTAGATGAGACAAGTTTCTTATTTCTGATTTTCTCATTTGGTAATCAAAAGATGTTTTCCCCTTTAAGATATTCATAATGACTCTTGATTTGACTGTGATATTTGTCATGTAGATTCTGCACTATGACTTTGTATGGGACTTTATCTCTATTTTCACAGTTGTCATACATCCCTAACCTAACTTCAGTTATTTGTCATAGCTGAAATGAGTCACAGTCATGTAGGACACACAATGAGAATTTCATAAAATAGGACAGGTTTTTTTTAGTAACTGGATTTTTTTTCTCTGGCTTAATATACCATTTCATACACCTGAAGGCAAACAGGCAAGCTAAACATTTGTATAGGATTAGAGGCAGAAATATTTTCATGAAAGTTTATATAAATCTTGAATACCAGCTTCTAGAACATTTGCAGTGCATGTCTTCTACTGCTGCAGGTGCTTTTTGCCATATACATGTATAAATGTGGCAATTCCAAGTGCACATAAATATAGGATTATTTCAAATGACATTTGGAAAATCTATCTTGAGCTAGCTCTTTTTCATAGTGACAGAATTCATTAAGAATTTTATGAGAGCAACACATCTGAATACCCTATCCTAAAATTGAAATAGATTTAGATATTGTGTTTGGTTAGGGAAACAATTATATATATAAAACAAGAATCACCAGCAGAATGGTTTTCAATTCAGTTCCTCATGGTAAATTAATGTGTATATTATTTTTCTATTTTTTTCTAGTGTGTTGTATTTGCTATGACATCTGGTCAGATGTGGAATCACATCCGTGGACCACCATATGCTCATAAAAATCCTCAGAATGGACAAGTGGTGAGTTGATTATTTTAATTTTATTTTGAGAGGAAATATTATATAGACAGTTGCTTCCTACAGTGAATGAACTTCCAACTTGCAAATAATTGCAGTTCCACAGCACTGTATGACAGTGTGTCAGAGTCTATTGTCTCCAGTTGTAAGCAGTCTGTGTTTTGGAATTAAAGATGTTTAGAAAGTGCCACCTTCTTTGGTATGAGCAATGAAATGCATGGCCATGGTTTTCAAAATTCACTCTATCAGGCTCACAGCTGTAGTGAATGTGTTGTAATATGTTTCATACCTTGAAATTTCCACTGCCCAAAGATAGACACAGGTACTGTGTCTTATTGTAGGGACATGCTTGCTTACATAGTGAAAAATGAATTTGTTTTGTTTCTTCCTTCAGGCTACATTTATACAAACCTTTGAGGTTTGTAACCTATTATCTTCCTTTCCTGATCATTTTAGTTAGAAAAGGAGATGCTAAATCTTTTTGGGTGCTTTGTACTGTTTTCTACCATGCCCATAATTCTTCCACTGAAATGTATAGAATGCTTTTTCCTATATCTTTGCTCCTTCAATTTAAATTCTTTATCAGATTTACTGAGATGTTACCTTTGACTAGTACCAAAATTGCTGTTATATCCTGGTACTCCTGCCTCTGAAGGAATTATCTTATTTGCTTATTTCTGCACACAAATTAGCAAATGTTCATCAAGTTTTAGAAAAATAAACTTTGTCTGCTGGGAAAGTAAAGAGGACCTTTGATAGTTTCTTATACTCTGTTATTTACCACTTTTCAAGCAATTTCTTGGGATGGAATCTACAAACCTTGTAATGAACTTAATGTTCAGGAAGCTTTGTCATAACTAGTGGCCTGTTGAGCTATTTTCAGCTTTGGCTATCACTAAAGGAAACTGTCTTGTGTCTTAAAGAAAAACATTATTTGAAGCCCCCTTTATATCCTGTCTTAATTGGAGTAGGAAAAACTGATGGTTTTACTTAGATATATGCTTTTTCTCAGGAATGAAGCAGCACATTGATGTCATAAAATGACAGTTTAATCTGTGAACTTTGTTATGCAGATGTAGAATTGATGATGTAATGATCTCTGTAAAACACTTTATGAAAATTTAGAATTTTTCATTACTGCATTGTGGAACTAAATTTATGACGCTTTCCTATGGAGTGACAGAAAGGAGAAATACTGCATAGAACAAGCACAGTTTTGTGGCAAATTATTGTTTACCATATCCAGTTTTGTACACATTGCCCATCTTATAGAACTGTTTCTGAAGTATACCCTACATTAAATAATTTTAAAATATTCCTGAATTAGTGCCAGCTTGTCTAAGTTTTCAGAGTCTGAACTCGTATCCTGACTGTTTGAAAAGCTACTAGTTTGGGAATGTTAACACACAGAATTAAATAATGGAAACAATGGTAAAGGTGGTTTTAAATTCTAGATACTAACCTTTGTTTTGGTCAAAATACATACATTAATTTCTGGTTTTGCTCTATTATATGACTTCCCATAAGTTATTTGTGCCTCTAATTCATCTGTGTCTCCTTGTTCCTATCTGTCAGTACTCTTACATCTTTGGAGTTATGTCTGTGTCAGTAAGTAAAACCAGTGAGATTCTGAGAATTAAAAAAGTATAGATCACTAAGTTCCTGCTTTAATTAGACTATCACTGACCAGTAGAGTTGTAATTTAAAGCTCTAACTTTAGAAATGTTGGAAACTTAATAAGTATTCTAGAAACCTTTACTGATTTTACATTGTGGGCTGTTTTTTTTCAAATAACACTATTGAACATTTTCCTGTTTCATTTTTCTAGTACTTATCTTGGTTTCTGTGAATTGCAAGTTATAAAAGTGCTTATACAACACTTCTGTGATATTTATTCAACCATGGTAATTCACTGTAACACTTTCAGAATTAAGTCAGCAACTGCTGTCTTCACATCTGGATGAAATTTAACTCATCACTTTCTTTGCAACGTCTAGAATTCAGTACCAATTCCAAATTTGCATGCCAATTTTATACAAGGATTACTTGCATGTAATACTCTGAAACCTTGTTGTCAGCCTTACCACAAAAATTTTCGGTTTTAAGTGGAGGCATCAAATAGCTCACCAAGCTTGATAGTTTTTATTGTTAGGTTCAAAATTACTGATTCAGGGCTTACTTCATCAGAGTTGCTGGTTCAGTTCTGTACTAGCTGTAGAGCCTGATATGCCTTTGATATGAATGATATGATTTGGAAAGTGGTAGTACTCTGCCTTCAGAAACTGTTCCTTGCCTTAAATATCTCCTATTGCATGCTTTATTCCCATTGTAACTTTAGATGACAATTTCTTTTCCTTAAATTCCTATTTTTTTCAAAAGATGTGAAAAGACATCTGTTTGCTTAGACAATACTGCTTACCAGTATCTTATGCAAGTAATACTACCAGTTCTTAAGATTTTTGGGTTGTGCACTGCATTTATCATTCTTTGCTTGATTACCTAAACTACCTTAATTCTATGATTGTATCCTTTGAAGCTTTTAAACCGTATTTTTGTATTTCTGTGTGGTTTATTCTGTGAAGCTGATGTGCTCTCTGATTGAGGTTGTTGCAGTTACTTCTTTATTCCGTGTTGCCATCAGCTAAATTCAGGTTTTGGGTTCACATGAAAGCAGCATTGTTTGATATTTCAGTTCTGATTTGGGCTGATGAAACTGGTGCTAGTCTTCTATCTTGACACATACTTTATCTCTGTTACATTTCTGAAGTTCTCCATCTTTTGCCAAATAATTTTGTTAGGATTAGGCCCTTATTGACTCATAAGATTTCATCAGCTTTTAATCAAATAGCAACAATGGATACAAAAGCATTTGTGTATGTCTGTCCATAGATTAGCAGCCTTTTTTTTTTTTTTTGGCATACAAATTTTACAGTTTTTATTGTTCAATATGCTCAAGACTGCATCTTTAAAAGGCTGAAAGTTTTCTGTAAATGACAACAGGGCAAAGGACAAACTTCATCTAAAATACTGAATTAACATGGTTTCCAAAGCTCATAATTTTATGTCCTTCTCTGCAAAGAAATTATTAGAAGTTGAAAAAGGTTTTGTGTGAAGAGGGAAATACTAGATTTTTTTATTATCAGATATGATATAGTTTTCATACATAAGCTGATGCTTTGTGAAATGGACAATGGTCATATTTGCCACTATGTTAATTGGAATTTTTTTTGGTTTATATTTTAAAAGTTGTTAAAATTGCTCAAGCATAACACAGATTATGTCATTAGGAAACAATTTATATTTTAGTAGATCTTTTAAATAGACCACTTTGTAATATAATATCAAATATAAATATTTGCTCAGTTGTAGCATTTTTTCATCCTTTTCTACTGCCTATTTACCTTTCACAGTTTTGTAACCACTGATCTTTATTCAGGAAGAGTCTCTAAAATACCAGTTTTCTTGCTGGTACTGACACGTGGTAATATGTATGTTTCTGAATTTAAATGAAAAATGTATTTGCTAGTATAATTTTTGCATTTGTTAATGCAAAATTAAGGTACTCTGAAAGATTTATGTTATGAATATTGGGATTCTTAGTTCATGTTAGTCCTCTACTGCTAAGCAGGGTAAAATGTCACCCAGTTAGGTTAATTCTTCTGTGGTTTCTGATATGAATTTTTTCAGAGGAGGCTAAAATATATGGAACTGTTTCTTGAAACAGTTTTATAGAATGACTCTCCCTTTCAAGCTCAGTAAGTCACAGTAAATACATTGTCCTTTTGCCTTCAACGTATCTGGAAGCACATTTGAAGTACAGTTTGCCAAAATTGTCTTTGTAATGCCTGATGTTTCTGAAAGTGGCCACATTGTTGGGTAACAGTTGCAATATATACAAAAACACTTTACTGTGTTATATATTATTGTATATTTGCCTTCCTTTTGGCTAAAAAAAGTCATACAGGTAATTCTATCAGTACCTAACCTAAGGTATCCAGGTTTGTGTGACTTTTACCACAGCAATATTTTGGTGCATCTGTCAACACTAATCACAACCATACTACTGTTGAAAAGACTTCTTAATATTTTATTGGAATAGCCAATTATTTATATTAATATGCTGGATAGAAGTGAGTCATGCATGATTTATGTTATGACTGTTTTTAATGAAATTGCTTTCCTGTGGATATCAAAGCAGTAAGTCTATTCAAAAATTACAAGTGGTAAAGAGTTTCTCAAGCCTTTAAATTAATCGTCTGTCATGATTTAGTCAAAAAAGTTAATAACTGGCAGTGTAAGGTACAGAACTAGTATAAAACAATATTAATTCTGTTAACAGATCAGCACATTAATAACTGGGCAGCTTCATATCTAAACTCCTCTTGGGAAAATTATCAACCTGTGTAAGACATCTGTCCTAATTTTGAAGACTGCAAGGCTGATTTTAACTGGCATTCTGTATAATATATGTTTTTACCTTGTGATATTAGAAAATGGAAACCTTACACAGTATTTTGTATTCTTTTTTTTATTGTGGGAAGAAAAGGAGGTAGGAAAATAGTCATTACAGAAGGGTCGCTGAGATGAGGCATTAGAACCTCTTTGTTCTTAAAATGGTCAATTTTGGATGCATACATGCTGTAAAAATACACATAGTACCATTGTGTTGCAAGTGCTGCATGTTCTCATCAAGTAAAACAGGATTTTAGACAAGTAATCATGCAGCAAGTAGACTGATAAAAAACAATAAAATAATTTTAAGAAAAAAAACAAATAAAACCAAAATCTGCTGGATTTTAATTGCCTCTTGTAACAACAGAAATCCAATTTTAATTGACTGATACCACTTTCAAGTAATAAACAACCCTTGTCTCCCCCACTCCTTATCTTCCTTTTGCTAAGGGTATACATGCTCCTAGAAGCAATTTAGTTTCATTTGAAAGAACTGTTTTCTGCAGAACAGCTCTTTTTATGTCTTTTTAAATCAGGGAGACCTCAAATAT